CACTACGTTCATCCACCTCTGGCCTTCTAGCCCCCCTACCTCTACGGAAGCACAGTTCCCGCTCAGCCCAGTCAAAACTATTCACTGCTCTGGCACCCCAATGGTGGAACAAGCTCTCCCACGACGCCAGGACAGCGGAGTCACTGACCACCTTCTGGAGACACTTGAAACCCTACCTCTTTAAGGAATACCTGGAATAGTATAACAGTAATCCTTCTACCCTCAAACTTCCGACTTCAACTGTATACACATGGATCTAAATTTGACCAGTTTCTTACAGCAGGAAATTGATCCTGCATCAACAGGAAATGTGAATTATTATGTGGATAATAATTCATGGACATTGTTGTAGGGGTTGAGGTATTTTTCATTAGAGCAAATCAAGCCTGAAATTTCAAAGTGGAAATTACACATTCTAGAAACCATTTAAACCTCAAATACACTACAATTTTGCATTTCCTGCGGCGCAGAACAAGTCGCTCACAACAGGGTGATCAAATTAAGATCCTACACCAGTATGTAATCAGTCTCAAGCTCACCAGTGAATCTGATGAGAACGGTTCCGCTGAGTTGAGACTGCTGGGGCCGATCTCTCCTGGTCCCCTTACACAGGTACTGACCAGCCTGGTCGGGAAGAAAGATGGTGATGGTTTCACTGGACTGACTGGAAAGATGTTGGTTGTCTCTGGACCAAAGGTACGTCCAATCTGTGTACAGTGGTATGTCACACTGCAGAGTGACTGTCTCTCCAGAGTAGAGGGTCCTGAGGAGAGATGCTCAATGTGGCCAAGGGCAGAGCTGTGGAAACAGTTAAATGAAGACAAATGCAGTTAGTGCACCAATCTTTCCAAAGTATGATCTGACTTCTGTAGGTAATACGGTTACTATTAAAGCTGAGGATACATATTACAGATTAGACATATTACCTAAACGGAAAACATTATCAATTTCAAAATTAAAAAAGCAAATAAAAGTTTATTCTCAGAATTAGGAAGGTCCAGTTAGTGATGAAGCATCAATAGTGAACTCACCAGTGACACTGATGGAAAGAGAAACACTGGGTTGTGTTCTCGTCCCCTCACATCTGTACTGACCAGCCTGGTCAGGGAGAGAGATGGTGATGGTTTCACTGGTCTGACTGTGAATCTGTTGGTTGTTTCTGTACCAGAGGTACATCCAGTCTGTGTAGCTTAGTATGTCACACAGCAGAGTGACTGTCTCTCCAGAGTAGAGGGGACCCTGAGGAGAGATTCTCAATGTGGCCACGGGCAGAGCTGTGGAAACATAAAAATATTAAACAAATGCACCATATTTCTTCAATTATTACAAGAAATTAGAATGAGAAAATGGAGGAATCCTGGAAAGATTTCAGACTTTACTTACTGTTAATTTGAACCATGTCTGGTTGTATCGGGTTAGAGTGATGAAATGCAGAAAAATACATTCAGATTATTTACTCACCTTGATTGTGTCCACAGAAGAATAATGCACTCAACACTGAAACACAGAAAGAGAGAGGGGGATATAGAGAGATAAATAGAGAGATGGAGAAAGAGAGTGATAGAGAGGGAGAAAGATAGAGAGAACTGAATATGTGACATTGAGAGACTGAGAACAGTAATTGAGCTAGAAGAGCAGTTTAAAAATACACTACATGACCAAAAGAGTTGGTCCCCCCCTTTGCTGATATAACAGCCTCCACTCTTCTGGGAAGGCTTTCCACTAGATGTTGGAATATTGCTGCAGGAACTTGCTTCCATTCAGCCACAAGAGCATTAGTGAGGTCAGGCACTGATGTTGGGCGATTAGGCCTGGCTAGCAGTCGGCGTTCCAATTCATACCAAAGGTGTTCGATGGGTTTGAGGTCAGGGCTCTGTGCAGGCCAGTCAAGTTCTTCCACACGATCTCGACAAACCATTTCTGTATGGACCTCCTTTTGTGCATGGGGGCATTGCAATGCTGAGACAGGAAATGGCCTTCCCCAAACTGTTGCCACAAAGTTGGAAGCACAGAATCGTCTAGAATGTCAAATCAAATTTTATTGGTCACATACAAATTGTCCTCTGGTCTGATGAATCAAAAATATAACTGTTTGGCCATAATGACCATCGTTATGTTTGGAGGAAAAAGGGGGATCCTTGCAAGCCGAAGAACACCATCCCAACCGTGAAACACGGGGGTGGCAGCATCATGCTGTGGGGGTGCTTTGCTGCAGGAGGGACTGGTGCACTTCACAAAATAGATGGCATCATGAGGAAGGACAATTATGTGGATATATTAAAGCAACATCTCAAGACATCAGTCAGGAAATTTAAAGCTTGGTCACAAATGGGTCTTCCAAATGGACAATGGCCCCAAGCATACTTCCAAAGTTGTGGCAAAATGGCTTAAGGACAACAAAGTCAAGGTATTGGAGTGGCCATCACAAAGCCCTGACCTCAATCCTATAGAACATTTGTGGGCAGAACTGAAAAAGTGTGTGCGAGCAAGGAGGCCTACAAACCTGACACAGTTACACCAGCTCTGACAGGAGGAATGGGCCAAAATTCACCCAACTTATTGTGGGAAGCTTGTGGAAGGCTACCCAAAACATTTGACCCAAGTTAAACAATTTATAGGCAATGCTACCAAATACTAATTGAGTGTATGTAAACTTCTGACCCACTGGTAATGTGATGAAAGAAATAAAAGCTGAAATAAATCATTCTCTTTTACTATTATTCGGACATTTCACATTCTTAAAATAAAGTTGTGATCCTAACTGTCCTAAGACAGGGAATTTTTACTAGGATTAAAAGTCAGGAATTGGAAAAAACTGAGTTTAAATGTATTTGGCTAAGTGTATGTTAACGTCCGACTTCAACTCTATCTGGTATAAAACTACAGATTCCTAATGTTTCTTAGACTCATATACAACTTGATTAAAAGCTGCAATAACCAACAACTCCAACACTCGCTTAACTTTCTCCCCTCTTACTAGCTCTGACTATAGCTGATAGTTACTTTACTGAGGAAAAATGTACTGTGATATGTGGTTGTCCCATCTAGCGATCTCAAGATGAATGCATTAACTGTAAGTCACTCTGGATAAGAGCGTCTGCTAAATGACTAAAATGTCAATGTAAATGCTCTAGAAAGGGTAAACACAGTATAACCAAACAACGTCATCATCTGTTGCCACATTTATTGTGCATTTATGACACTTGATATTCTATACATTTAAAAATGTCTTGTCCAATAAAGGAAATAGTTGGCTAACAACATTTATAAATACAGATAAATACATTAATCATAATGTAATACTCACAGAGCAGCATATAAAGTGAAGTGTTCTCCATTCTGAGCCTCTGGTAAGGGACTGAAGACACCAGCGTTTCCTCCGGAACCCTACAGTTCCTGTGGCTGTGACACAAATGGAGCTTTGTCAGAATTAGAAATCTACAGATCCTTAAAGACAGAGTAAAAGAGCATCTGATGTCATGTTTATCTTGACTCAACTTCCTCCTTTCTGTAAAAGGAGTGGACACAGCAACACTGTGGTTTTACTTTAGGTGGAAGAGAGAACTAATGAAACTAAAGTAAACATCTGTCAGTATCGGCCTACAAGAGAGCCTACAATAAGAGTCAAATTATGTCATTATGAAATGTATTTTTATAAACAATTTGATTATATATTATGTTATATATTATATTATGATTTTGAAAATAATGCTGGCTCTATTTAACCATCTATGATGAATGATACAGATGCAGTATCTTAATTTGACCATCCTGTTGTTGCAGGAATTTTTCTGCAAAGCAGGAAATGCAAACTTGTGTATTCGAGGATTAAAAAGGCTCCTAAAGTTTGTAATTTTTCTTTAAAGATTGTAGTCTTGATTTGCCGGGTAGATGAGGGCAGTGGGAAGATAGGCCCCTAAATGGAGAGTAATCCAAGAAAGAAGACGAGTAGGCGGCCAGCACGTTGCAATAAACTTTAGTGAACTATTAGCAGAATATATTTACAAAAGAATACATATAGGAGCAGTCAGCATAGTACATCAGGATGCACAACTGCAACACGTTTCGACTACCATAGTCCACAGGAGGTTGGTGGCACCTTAATTGGGGAGGACGGGCTCGTGGTAATGGCTAGAGTGGAGTGCCAGTGTGTGTGTGTGTGTGTGCGTGTGTGAGAGATGGTACATGAATCCTCCCAACATCAGTAACCTTGCTTGTGTTGTCCTGTGTTATAACATTTGTTATACATTATTATGAGGCTATGGCATGAGGCTTATTTATTTGGCCGTGGGACTGTAGGTTTATTTGATTTTCATTACAGTTATTTTATTGTGTTGTGTAGCTGAGTCATCAGTGTTGTGTTGTTGTTTTGGGCTTCTCCTCCCAGGGTCAGGTGACCAACACAGGTGAGACAGGTCAGGAGAGGATCTACAGCCAATCAGTGATCAGAACCCTGCAGACACACTTGAAATACTAATCTAAGAGTCTCTCCCAACATGTTTCTGTGGTCTTATATTGTGCTCTACCTCTCTCTCTCTCTCTCTCTCTCTCTTTATATCTCCCCCTCTCTACCCATATCTCCTTTCTTTTACTTCCCTCACTTCTCTCTTCACCCTTCTCTCTCATTTATCCTCCTTCTCTTTAACTCTCTCCCTCTCACTCCCTTTCTCTCCCCATCTCTGTCTCTCTCAACTCCCTCCCCTCCTCCCTCTCCCAGAATATTGAACAGAAGACTATTGGTCTTCAGCTGAACAGTTTGTTTGAGACTTTAAAGAAAAAACAAGTTCACACTAAAGATGTCACAATGAAACTGGGCATTGAATCATTGAATCATTGGGTGCATTGATTTTTTTGTTGTTGCCGCCAATGTAGTATACGAGCAACGTGATGCTGCTGAATATTTTGAGAAGATTTTAAGCATGGCCAATCCTAATGTGTCTACGGTAGACCTACTGCATCAATGAACAAATGTTTTACATGCAATTCAGTATGTAGAAGTTATGAAATCTACAAGACTGACAAAAGTTTGTTTTCAGATCTTCAAAGGACATTTGAGGCACATTGTCACCTGTTCTAAACGTCACGTGAACAGTGATGAAGTTGTTCCGTTTTGGAATCTGCCACTGTCAATGGAAGATAACAACAACTACAGTGTGGTAGGGAACATAGCCTGCTTCACCTATTATGGTAACTCCAAAATGTTCTGCATACCAAATCCTTCAAATGCCATATAGTATGCAATTTGTCTTATGGAATTAAATAACAGCATATTCATTCAGTGGGAAAGTATTTACTGTATATTGGAATTTGTGAAAAAACAAATAACATTGTATCTCATTGATAATGATACCATAATTTTCTATGACGTGACAAATTGGTTTGAGGCAAACAACACTATGTTGGAGGTGTAAGATACCATTTTCTTTCTTTTTTCAGAGATGGTTATGAGAATTTTTTTAAGCCTTCAACTGTCAGTGGTGACAAAACAGATGCAATCATTGTGAGTTATGATATTTAGAATACTCAATGGATATCCTAAACCATTAATTGTATCAAAAGTTTCTCAGAAAGATAACACTTTGAAAAATACTGTGTTACTGGGTCTAGTGGTGTAATAATAGTGTGTTTTGTGTCTCCAGGTAAGTAAGATGGAACATCCCCCAGAGATTCTGACTCTGCTCCTCAAGAGGTTTGAGTTTGACTACCACATGATGTCATATGTAAAAAAAAAAGAGTTTTGTTGAGGTGCCTCGCACGTTACAGACAATGGTAACTAACAAACTTTAGTTCTTAAACAGGTTATTATTCTATACAACTTTTTTTCTCATTAAGTTGTATAACTTAGGCACTTAAGTTGATTGCCTTTTAAAAAGAGAGAACATTAGCATTGTATGTTCCTTTATAGCCCTCCTCCTCCTCTGTACCTTACCCCTACATTGGGCCCTATCTGAAAAAGCTCAGTGATTTGCCTGTTCATGGTGGACCTTTTGATTTATCAGAACTTTGAAAAGAACTGTAACTGTGAACTCTATGCATTTGTGGACCATGTGGGGAGTCTAAGAAGTGGACATTACATTGCTGTAATCCAGTCCTATGAGGATCACAACTGGTATATGTTGGATGACACCTGTGTCAGTCAGGTAAGGGATACTTAACTTTTTTTAATCTAGGATATACTACCACAAAAACCACGCTACTCCCTCAACATCCATATACCATCCCTAGTTATAGTTGACTGCATTGCTGCTCCCTCTCTTACAGCTCAATTCAAAACCATTTGAGCAAGATGAGTTTTAGGTAAGTATAAATTTCACTTTAAGAAGATGTCGGTGTGTTTTATTTGAAAACTTGTGTTTGTTTAAACTAGAATCCTTAGTTGCTACATCCATTTTTTAATACCCATTGATTATTGAATAATATAACTTATAAATGTCTCATGAGCTTAATGATTCTAGCTTTAATGAAGTGTAATTGTCCAATTTGGAAGGCCTTCAAGTAACTAATTATTATTCAATTACTGTAGGTCCCAGAGTGCGTAACCTGCTTATGTACAGGAAATGTAAGTTAATAAATGTGAACTATCATTTGTATCTATGTGGTCCTATTTTATCCATGTCATTCATGTGATTCTACTTCTCCATATGGTCAAACATTAATCTCTTTAAAAATCACAGTGAACATATGTCATTAATGTCTGACATTATGTCATTTACCCTCTGTTTCCAAGTAGATGCTCCAGATCAGATGAACGATGGAACCAACCACAAACATTCACTCAGTAACCCACAGCTCTCTATTCCTTCCTGTTCCTTTGAGATGGGAGCCAGCAGAAGAAGAGAAGAAGAAGAGAGAAAAGTTCAATCAAAACAATCCATCAATCCAGTTGACATGGTAGGGAGAACAGAAGATGTTCACAGAGGAAAGACAGGATGATAATGGCAAGGTTGTTCAAATTATTAGACAGATGAACATACAAGATAGGAGTGGAGAGGATAATGTCGCAGCTGATAAAGATGATGATAACACTGGAGAGAGAGAACTGAAAGGAGATGATAATGTCGTTGGCCAAACCGAACAGGAAGGTGAAGTGGCCAATGATTAAGACGCAGATGAATGATGAAAGGATCAGGAAAAAAAGGGTTGTGGTCTGACAAGAAAGGGTTTTGGTGTAAAAGGAGAACCGGAAGAAAAGGTTGAAGGTGGACAGACTCAGGGAGATAAGGAAAAGAAAAAGGAGGATATTGTTGTGGATGAACGGACAGAGATATGGATAATAATAGTAAGGGGAAAGAGGAATGGAGATGGTTGCTGCAATGACAGAACCAGATAGAATAATAGAAGACGCTGAGGATGATACAACGGCAAAGAGAGGTGGTGGTGAGCTAAAGATTATAGAGGTTGGAGTGGCAGAGTTAGGAGAGGAAGGTGACGTGACAACAATGAGTCAAACTGACCTCAGTAAATCTCCCAGTTCTGTTGACCCGTTTGAGAGCAGACTGACAGACACCCCAGAGGAGACAACAACATATTTTTGCTTCAAGAAGGGTGGAAACAATAAATATAAGAACATGTTAGCAGGACAGAGCAGAACACATAAACCCATGACAGAGTAGAACACATAAAACTATGACAGAGCAGAACACATAACACTGTGAACAGCTTTGGGAGAAAAGGAAAGGTAGGGAACAAGATCAGTGAGCATGAAAATAAGGAAGTGGAGAGGATGAAAAGAAGAGCATGTTAGGAGGACATAAACTCAGCAAAAAAAGAAAAGTCCCTTTTTCAGGACCCTGTCTTTCAAAGATAATTCGTAAAAAATCAAAATAACTTCACAGATCGTCATTGTAAAGGGTTTATACAATGTTTCCCATTAATGAACATGCACCTGTGGAACGGTCGTTAAGACACTAACAGCTTACAGACAGTAGGCAATTATGGTCACAGTTAGGAAAACTTAGGACACTAAAGAGGCCTTTCTACTGACTCTGAAAAACACAAAATGAAAGATGCCCAGGGTCCCTGCTCATCTGCGTGAACGTGCCTTAGGCATACTGCAAGGAGGCATGAGGATTGCAGATGTGGCCAGGGCAATAAATTGCGATGTCCGTACTGTGAGACGCCTAAGACAGCGCTACAGGGAGACAGGATGGACAGCTGATCGTCCTCGCTGTGGCATACCACGTGTAACAACACCTGCACAGGATTGGTACATCCAAACATCACACCTGCGGGACAGGTACAGGATGGCAACAACAACTGCCCGAGTTACACCAGGAACGCACAATCCCTCCATCAGTGCTCAGACTGTCCGCAATAGGCTGACTGAGAGAGGCTGGACTGAGGGCCTGTAGGCCTGTTGTAAGGCAGGTCCTCACCAGACATCACCGGCAACAACGTCGCCTATGGGCACAAACCCACAGTTGTTGGACGGTGCTCTTCACTGACGTGTCACGGTTTTGTCTCACCAGGGGTGATGGTCGGATTCGCGTTTATTGTCGAAGGAATGAGCATTACACCTGCACGTCTGGGACCTGTTGGATCGGAGGGTGAGGGCTAGGGCCATTCCCCCCAGAAATGTTCAGGAACTTGCAGGTGCCTTGGTGGAAGAGCGGGGTAACATCTCACAGCAATAACTGGCAAATCTGGTGCAGTCCATGAGGAGGAGATGCACTGCAGTACTTAATGCAGCTGGTGGCCACACCAGATACTGACTGTTACTTTTGATTTTGACCCCCCCTTTGTTCAGGGACACATTATTCCATTTCTGTTAGTCACATGTCTGTGGAACTTGTTCAGTTTATGTCTCAGTTGTTGAATCTTGTTATGTTCATACAAATATTTACACATGTTAAGTTTACTGAAAATAAACGGTTGACAGTGAGAGGACGTTTCTTTTTTTGCTGAGTTTAGTAGAAAAGAGAAAACAAACAAAACATCATGGAGCGAAAGCATTGAGGTAAATAAAAAGGAAAGATAAATGAAAAAAAAAACAAATTTGAGGAGAAAAAAGAAAGGGAAAAGAGGAGAAGAAGAAAGGGATCAGAGATGTTTCCTCTCAATTTCATTTGACCCTGAAAAACATAGAATATAATGAAAAAAATGATAATGATTCTGTCTAAAACATTGAGTTTATAGAGCTTTAATAAAAACGCTTTAAATGCCATACTCAACAACAACCATGGATCTTCAGTCCGTTTTTTTAGCCTGTTGGTTTTAGTCATTGTCTATACTATTAGGACTCACAGAAACTGTACTGTCTTCTATATTTTTCACAGATGATATTAGATATTCCTTTGAATGTAGTCATCAGATTGAAGGACATGGCATAGGATTTTGGATAAATCATTGGTGGGAAATCCTGTAATGTATGAAGTAAAAAAAAAAAAAAAGAGCATGTAAGTAATGAACCTTGATGATTTGCTGAATTGAACCAAATAAAGGATTAGTGTGAGAGCTGTTATGCATTTCTCTTCTAATTTCACCAAGATGGCATTGCTTGGAGTTTTGTTTGTGTTGTGTTTATAGATTTGAACAGAACTAGTGTGCATCAGTTTTTATAGTGCCATTATTTCATTAACTATGGATCAATATTCACTCAGGCTGACTAGAGGTTTATGACCACATAGTGCAGAGACCACGGTACACTGACCTGGGATCTCATTCCTTTGACTATCACCATTGCAATATAGCACAAAATGGGAAGACAAACATTAAAACTCAATTAAAATTAAAAGCTGTTGTCTTGTTGAAAATATATAAATACATGAAGGGCAATCTACAGAGAAAACAGTTACTGATTGTACAAAAATCTCTGAGACAGGTAATATCTGATCATGTGATTGACTACACCTGATACCTGGCCATATGCTGCTGTAGCTGGAATTTCCCTGTTTGGCGAATGCTCCCTTCCCTATAGGTTGCCCTATTTTAGCTTTCCATCCATTCTCTTTTGTCCTCTGATTTATCATGTGTTACAAACATACACAGATTAAAATACATCAAAGAGAAATAGTGCTCATTACCTGGTTGCCACACCAATAACACAACTCTTTATTAAGATGTCTTACAGTAACAATGAATCTTACGAACAAGCTATAAATTATGCTTACCTCATACTGAGCCATGATGGAGAATGCTTTGATTCTATATCAATCAATGGGCCCCTACATTTGTGAACAAACCAAAACTTTATCCCTTTATAAATCAATATCATTGTATCATTAATATAAATATTGAATAAAATATGTTTGTAATCCTTTGTAATGTGAACTGTTTTGATTACCTTGTACCCAGTCTTATCTGACTTCAGCCCCATTAGTAAAGAACTTGCGTAATCTTATGAAGACCAATAGACTTAGATGGACATTGCATCATTGTATTTGACCCATTACAGCGTCTGTGAGAGCATGGCAGCTCCATTGAGGCCATCTCCATTTTGAGGTAGTCCATTTTCTTATTCTACTACTATGAGTTGGTAAACAAACTGAAAGGGTGCATACTGCCACCTTGAGTGTGTAGGTATAAAGCCCAGGTTGGTGATTTACTGCCACCTGCAGTTATGGAATGTTTGCTGATGAATATAATTAATTGGCTGATCCCTCCTGATGACCCGGGTGGAATCATCTGATCCTTCCTTAACCCATAAGAAGTCCCACCCAGTTGACTACTTATAAATGGTAAAAGTCCTCAATGGCACTTCTCATGCTAAAACAAGCTTTTGGGCACTAGAGTCCTCTATCTATCTCTATGTGAAGACCAGGCCTCTATAAACCAGGGGTGGTATGGTAGCATCATTAACTTTATCATAGCACGCCAATCTGCCCAGAGGGTTACACAGGTACTTCTGTTTCCTTGTATGAATGCAAAGTTGGTCTATAATTCATATTCATTGTACAATGTTTAACAAATACTCGGACATAAACAAATCATTTAATATAAGATATAATTGTTATTTCTTTTGTATTACATCAATAGACTAAGATGGACTTAGACGTCGATTAAAGTAAAGTAACAATATGATAATAAAGATACTACGAAAATAATATTATGCCACTTATACAATTACCTCATTAATTATTAATAATACATTTCTAAAATATCTTGAATAGATTTTTGTTGATTGGCCATGGTGGAGAGTTTGGAATCTGATTGATTGACTGCTTCTGTGGACAGGTGTCTTTTATACAGGTAATAAGCTGAGATTAGGAGCACTCCCTTTATTGCTATCTTACATTTTACATTTTTGTCATTCAGCAGACGCTCTTATCCAGAGCGACTTACAGTTAGTGAGTGCACACATTAAAATGTTTTCATACTGGGCCCCCGTGGGAATCGAACTCACAACCCTGGCGTTGCAAACGCCATGCTCTACCACCTGAGCTACACTAGTGGCACAGCTAGCACTGCAATGCAGTGCCTTAGACCACTGCGCCACTCGGGAGACATATCTTGTGAGAAGTGTATTGGATCAGATAGCTCATAGGAGGGAAAGTGATAACTATATACGCAGAAAGTCTTTAATTACCACTCCAGGTGGGTATAGAGGTCTGCCTGGGGGCAACACCAGCAGAGCAGGCTCTGTAGGGTGAGCTGGTCTTCATGCACTCAGATTTGAGCTTAAGGCACACAAAACAGAACTCGTTCTTGCAACGCAGGCAGAGTAAATTCTTACAAGCGGTCTTGTCATGCTCTAATAGTGCGCCACAGGTGGGACAGGCACGTATGGAGGGGCAGGCAGTGACCCCATGTACCTCGGGTAAGGCGACGGTTGGACATTTTTGCAGCAGATGCAGCCTCTGGTCAGAGTGTGGCCCCGGCGCTATTAATTGCTTCAGGCTTTTAAACCATTCGGTCGGTGACTGTGGGGTGGCCTTGTGACCAAAGGACATTTCTGCCCTCAAGGTGTCAGGATCATCATCCAGAGCTGAGACACAACAACAACGAAAACAGTGATTAAAAAGGTATCCTTTGGACATGTGGTGCATGGGGATGTACAAATGCCACAGGGACAGAACAGGACAAACCTACATACAGTGAGGGAAAAAAGTATTTGATCCCCTGCTGATTTTGTACGTTTGCCCACTGACAAAGAAATGATCAGTC